TTTTTTTTTTTTTAATGGAAAAACACAGTTTCTTATGCAATAAAATTCCACTCGAGGCCTGGTGGTTTAAACCACCAGTACCTCGCCCAGCTATTTTTCTCCCAAGGGGCTGCGTCGGACAGGGGTCTGTCTCACTCGAGGCCTGTGAAAGAGTTAGACTCTCTCTCTCTCTCTCTCTCTCTCTCTCTCTCTCTCTCTCTCTCTCTCTCTCTCTCCCCCCCCCGCCAAAAACAAAGTCTGCGCGTTTGTTTTTCTTTTTTTTATTAGAAGAATGTGGTTCGATTTTTTCTTTTTTCTCTCTTTTTTTCCTTTCATACCCTACAACCGGTAGTTCGAGTTCGAGCCTCGGCAAGGCTTGGGATACGGGTCGGCGGAGGCCCGGACTCAATAGCAGGGTGAGGTACTGGTGGTTTAAAACGGAAAAAAACAAAGAAAAAAATTCGCCTGGAAGAAAATTTATTTTCATTGTCAATCAGGGGGGAAAGCATTGGGAAATGAAAAACACACACTTCCAAGTCCCACTTACCCAAATTCTGAACGTCTGACCGTAGATTAGGAAGATCAACGGTCATAAATGAAGAATCAGCGTAAGTGGGATTTATTCTCTCTTTTTTTCCTTTCATAAATGAAGAACCAGCGTAACTTGTTTAAAAAAGTTTCTACTCTTCATTTTTTCTCTCTTTTTTTCCTTTCATTAATGAAGAATCAGCGTAACTTTTTTTCCTTTCATACCGTAAGTGGGATTATATATATTTCTTAAACAAGTTACGGAACATTTACTTCTCTTTTTCTTTTAAACCACTAGTACTTGGCCCAGCTATGGGCCGCAGGAAAAAAAAAAAGAGTAGAAACGTTTCTAGTCGGATGAATTTGGGCGCTCCTGTAGTAGCCGGTACGTTTCCTAAAACCGTTTCCTAAAATCGTGGTGTGTTAACGGGCATGACTCTAGGAAGTACTGGTGGTTTAAACCACTAGTACACTAGTACACAACCCCAGCCGTGCAGCAAACAAACTTGTCGCCACAAGAGAAAATCAGGGCTTGGGGAAGGCCCGGCAAAGCGATGAGGCAGGACGCGGGTTGGCCCAACGAAAAAGGCGAATGGTGTTTCCACATACGTAGACAGAACTCTCTGCATCGCTGGCACAACAGAAAAAACGGGTAGTCTTTGATAAAAAAAGAAAAAACAGTAGAAGAAAATAGCAGCAACCACAAAGGGAAAAAGAAAAAGAAAAAGAAAACAAGAAAGAGAACTGGGAGCCCCAATTCGAATGGCCCTGGCCTCAGTCTTGCTCGAGATTCAGGGGAACTCTTTGAGTTCTCGTTTACCTTTTTAGATGCCCTGCCAGGAAGGCAGGGAGTTTTTGTACTCTTCCAATTTCATTTGCACCCAGCATACTCACTGCAAGCATCTACCTGTGATAGAGTGCTTTATGCATCCAGGGGAGGTGGCTGTGCGGGCAAGCAGCCCCCAATCCACCACTGGTGCCTTTTAGGGCCTGATCCCAGTGATCAGAATTCTACCGTTTTCCATAAGAACCCAAAAGAACCACTTTCAGCGGAGCCGGTCCGCAAGGGATATAAGTAAAATGGAATCCTCCTTGCACGGTGTTTGAGGTGCTTTTTCGAGGAAAGCGGCGGGTTGTTGTGGGCGGGTGTGCGGGGTCGGGTTTCGTGCTTTCCGTTCGGACACCGTGTGGTGTCCTGTGCGGCCCTGCGAACTGTGTGACTGGTTAGGTGGTGTGTCCCCCTTTGTGGGCCGGGGGGTTTTGTGTGGCACGCACAGAGACAGGCATCGGCCCTTCGTAGTGCCGAAAATGTTCCCCGACCGTCAAGTCCCCCATACGCGTTTTGGAGGGAAGTTTCTCCACGACGGTCCCTCTCCCCCCGCGCAAGTCTTGCCATGTTCTCCACGGGTAATCTTTTCACCATCGTCCTGCTTGTAAGAGGTAGCATGGCTGTAGCATCGCTGTAGTGTCCATCTATGAGAGGGGTACTTGAGGCAAGTCGACAAGTGGCACGTGCACGGGCAGGAAGTTGTTGCGGCAGGGGGGGGGGGCTGGTGTGTCTATCGTGGCACACACATTTTTGGAGTTGATCGACTTCGTGGAAAGCGGTGATCGTGTTCCACAATCCCCATTACCGGGCAAGCTATGGCTCAATTGACGGCGGCCCAACTTGGTATGGTACTAGCTGCGGTCATCCGGTGGGTGCGGTTGAGGGAGCATCTCACTGTTATCTCCGCTGCCATGTTCATCCATGCCGTGGCGAACATTGTCGTGCTGCAAAACATGAGGAATGTGTTGTTGCTCCTTGCTTATGAAGTGTATGAGGTCGCAGGGCGAGCGGACGGTCGGCTCTCACACGTTGGTCGACGGCAACAACTGTGGGTGCGGGAGCGAGTGGGAGGAACGTGGGAGGAGTTGAACATGACGGGAGTGGGACACGAAAAGAAATTCAGGGAATACACACGGCTGACGCGTCCCGTATTCGACGAAATTTTGGAACGAATTCGTCCAAGGATTCAAAGGAGGGACACTCGCTGGAGAGATGCTTTGTCAGCGTCTCTGAAGTTGGCCTTCGCACTGTACAAATGGGCGACGGGCGGGTTTTACTGTCAATCCGGGAACGACTTCGGGATCGGGTTACACAGCGCCGTACGATGCACGGACGATGTCGCGAGAGCTATTTGTGCAGAGTATGGTCACGTTTTGTCTTGGTTGACAGGCGCTCGCTTGCAGGCGACCCTCGACTATTACGAGGGGAAAGGCTTCCCCGGGTGTTTCAGGGTCATAGACTGTACACACATCTATATTGAAAAACTACGTGGCAGGGAGGCGGAGCCGAACTTCGATCGCAAAAGACAGTATTCAATCCAAGCGCAGGTTGTGTGCAAGGAGAACATGCGCATACTGGATGTTGTCGTCGGCGCACCTGGTTCTGTTCATGATTCACGTGTTATACGTCTGTCTGATCTGTGCTGGCGTGGAGACGAAGGGAGGGAGCCTTTCACTCGGAGGACAAATGTGTTGATGGATGGTGTGGTGGTGGGGAGATATCTGATGGGAGATGCTGGGTATCCAATCCTACCGTGGTTGATGACGCCGTTTGGTGGCACTGACCGGACTCCGGAGGAGATATCCTATGACAACAAGTTCTCTGCCCTGCGCAGTGTGATTGAAAGGTGTTTCGGCAGGTTGAAAGGAGTGTGGAGATGCTTTGGGCGTAAGCATATCGCAAACATGGAGAATATTTGTTATTAGTTCTTTGCTTGTTTCATTCTACATAACATCATTATTGATGCGGGCATCCTGGTCGACGACGAACTGCTGCGACGGAGACCGGATGATGATAGCGAAGACGACGACAACGAGAGACCACCTGCGGACGACGTCGCCGACGACGGAGATGGTGGAATCGAAGGAGGACCTGCCGCCGCGATGGACAATGACGATGGAGATGGCGAGGCCGATCGATGACGCGAGGGGTCCACCTTGTACGCAACCCATCTGCAACGACGCGA